ATATATATTATCTATAATAAATTGTATAGAATAATATATTAGTATGCCTAGAGTTATATAAGAAATTCTTAAGTTTTATAGCTAAGCTATTATATAGATTAGGCTAGTATAGAAGAGAATTTCTCTAGTATCTTTTTCTTTAGCTATATTAAATATAATATTTTTAATAAAGTTCTTATATATAAATTTTTATCTAATAAGTTCTATAGTAAGTTTATTATTTTACTTAAGTAGATCTTTATATTATTTTATTAGGATATTAATTTACTACTACTTATTTTCTATACTTATCTTAGAAGTATTAAGGAGGTTATTAAGCTAGTCGGATAGCTTTTTATTAGCCTTTTTAAGGCTTCTTATATCTTTCTAGATAACCTCCTCTTCTTCTTCTTTCTTTAAGATAATATTAATATTACTATTATAGTTAGTATTTAAATTCTTTAAGAAAGAAGAGGTAATAGCAGAAGTTATAAAAGCTATAATAACTAATTTAAAATATTACTTAAGTTAATATAATAATATACTAAATAAAGCTATTAATATATAATAGTTAAGTTTAACTTAAAGGTATAGAGTAGGTTTAAGGTATATAATATATAATTAAATAAATTAGAATATTATAGTAAGTAATATAAATTACAGTCTAATAATAGTAAAATAGTAGATTTAATATAACTAAGTATATTAATAGCTAGTAAGGCTATTTATTTATAAAATACTAAGTAAATATATATATATACTATAGTAGATTATAGAGATTATAGTAGTAATTCCAATAAGCTATTATTTTAATTATAAGAATTATAGTAGTAATTTAAGTAATTCTTTATTTAATTAGTTTTTATATTGGGGATTATAGAATTATAAAAGTAATTTAAGTAATTTTTTATTAATTAGAGAAGAATAAAAGTGGAGTATTATAGTTCTATTATTTAAGACTGTCTAATTCTAACCTGGGCTATAATATTTAATATAATATTTTCTAAATTTAAAAGAATAAATTTAAACTTTTAAAAATTTCTTTTAATATTACTTTTTATTATAGTAATTTTATAAGTAGTATAAAAAGCTAGAAAGAATTTCATTTTTAAAATATAAATTATAGAATATTTAATTAATTACTTAATTATTTAACTATAAGCTATTTTAAGTAATTTAAAGTATTTAATATTAAAAAGTTAAAGTAGATAAAATAAATAAAATAATATATAAAATATAATAATATTATTTTCTTTATAATATTTTTTAAAGTTAATAAAGTAGTAACTTTTATATTTATTATTAGAGGTTATTAAATAGTAGAATAAAATAATATTATAATAAAAGAAATATTTTAATAGAAAATATAAATTAAAAGGTATATATAAATAGAAGATAGATAGTATAAGATAGTATAAAATAGTATATTATAGTATATAGTAGTATATAATACTTAAAATCTTAAGTTTTAAATAGCTTAAAGATTTTAGGCTTTTTATAGATAATTTCTTAAAATCTAGCTATTATAGCTAGATAATAGATATACTATTAAATAGCCTGAAAAATTAGCTTTTAGATAGTTTTGAAATTATTTCTTATTATATTTTAAATCCTAAGATATCTAGCTTTAAAATTAAGTTACTTTTAAAGTAAATTAATTTTAAAGCAATTTTTAATTTCTAATTATCAAGCTAATATTAGTCTAACTAAAATAGTATAAATAATATTAATAATACTATTTTTTATATTATAAGAGGATATTTTTTCCTAATTTTAACCTCTTTTTTTTTAACTTTAAAGCTATTATAATAATATATTATATAAAATTAAATATTTATTTATATATTTAAAGAGTATTAATATAATTTTATTTAATAAGAATTTTAATTTAATATTAGTTTTAATAATATTAAAAAAATTAAGATAGCTTATTAATAATATATTAATATTAAAATAAAAGATTTTTATATTAAAAAATATCTATAAAAAATCTTTTTATTATTTTATTTAGCTTATTATTTTATAAAATACTTATAAAATACTTATAAAATACTTATAAAATACTTATAAAATACTTATAAAATACTTATAAAATACTTATAAAATACTTATAAAATAACTATAAAAAGTTAAATCTTTTTAAAATAAATAGTTAAATAAAAGTAAATTTATAAATTTTATTTTATAGTAATTCTTTTTTTATAAAAAATAGTATAACTAAAGAAAAAATTAATTTATATATAAAAGTTTTATAATATATATATAGCTTTACTAAAAAAAATTTCTAAATATAATATTATTTATTAGAAAAATAGCTAGTTTAAATTCTATTAATTTATAATCTTTAAAAAAAATATAGTTATACTTCTCTTACTACTAGCTTTATTACTTAAGAAAGCTTTATATAGTAGTACCCCAGTAATTCTCTATATTTATATTACTATAAGCTACCTAAAGCTACTAAAGCTTAATAATTACTATAATATAAATATTAATAATACCCCTTATAAGAGTAATCCTTTAGTAAAGTTTACTACAGTTAGTATAAGAGCCGTAGGTAGTATATAGCTCTTGTAGTCATCCGCAAGTAGCTCGGCAGCCTTAGCTAGAAGAATATCTAGAGCTTCAGCTAGGCTTTCAGCCTCTGCTAGAGCCGCGGCCTCAAGCTGCTCCTATTTGAGCTGTTGTTATAGCTGTATAGCCTTGCCTTTACCCTTACCCCTACCCCACGCCTGTAGCTTCTTCTGCAGCAGCGCTACGCGTCGTAAGAAAATAGCTACGCTGCCAGCTTATCTGGCGTTATAAGCAAGCCTTCGGGCCAGCTATAAAGCAAGCCGTCTGCTGCAGCCCGGGGCATATGGCACCAGGCCTATAGGTATTTATCTGTTAGCCGCCTAGAGGGCCCTACTTAAAAGGGGGGGAAGGGAGGGCCAACCGGGGGACACACCTTCCATTCCTGCTGCTTCGCCGCGTAACTCCGCGGCCATCTCAGTCGATCGGAGCCTTCTACGTGGTGTTTTTCTGGGCTGGGTAGGCTGGAGATCTGATAAGTCGGGGGAGACTTATTAAATGCACTTATCAGGCGTCGCGCACACGATTTCACGGGCCGCGTTTTGCGGGCGATAAGTCGTCACGTGGTCTAAGCGAATTACGACGTAATTGCGCCATCGATAAGCTTTTTTTCAAGTTGAAAATCTGGGGGGGAGGAGTGTCGGAACTGAAAAGTGTGGGGTAAAAAAAACACACGTTAAAATACGGTGCTATGATGGCTATGGTAAACGCCGTCTGCTCCCTTACGGTGAGCAAGTTGCTGGCACAAGTGCTATAATTGTAATGGAGATATAGACTGGGCATCCGCCAAAGTTAATTAATCAGACCATTTCAAGTACTTGTAGTAAATCTTTATCGCAAATCGCACGTTGCATTGAACTTCCCCATGTTATTCCTCGATTGCAAGGTTTCTTACGATGAGAGTGATGCCTTACATTGAAACCTAGCCGACCATTAATGGGGCCACTCTTCAGAGCTCTATCTCTGCAAAGTATGTATGTATGTATATTTTTCGTCCGGGGGCTGTGAGGCCCGTAGAGTCCCCTATTGGGGCACAGGACGTGCTGAGCTAGAATCTGGAATGCTAAAATCTACGCAAGTGGTAAAAGGTTGGGCTGACTCATTCGCGACACGAAATTAAAGCATTCCCTTCTTCTTCTTCTTCCGTAAAATGCAAAACAGACCACTATCCAGCACATCACTATCTCTGCAAAGGATGATTGATAAAGCAAAGTCTAGGGTAGAGACAAATGGAGCAAGCAAGTAATTGGCTCTTTGGGCGGGTTAGCCTGTATTATGAAGCTAGGAAAAGCTAGACCTCCCTGACATCAAGGGGTGGGAGCTGCAGTTCACAGATACACAATACACACACATATTCAAGGTCATCAAGTGGTCGCATAAGTTATCTAACAATATGATTCTCCCTTATGCACGTGTTTACACTGACAAAGAAGGGAATGCGGGCGTCTTAGCGCCATTTATGCAGACAATTTCACTCAGAGATTACTTTCTCCAATCAGGGCCAATCCAAGACGCAAGCGGCACAATCTGCTCACGCTAAGGAGGGCGGTTGCGAACGGAGAATGCCGCATTCGAGTTCGAGTCAACACATCTTTAGTCAGTCAGCCAGTCGGTCGGTCGGTTGGTTGGTCGGTCGGTTTTATATTGCCATCTTCATAGCGGACTGTCCTTGCCTCGATGGGCCTTGCATGCTCCCCTTGTCCCTTGTCCTTGCAGAGAGCTAATCTGCAGCGTTTGATCTACGTAGTTATCCCCTTATCATTCCCTGGACCATCTCCAGGAGTGTCTTGCACCTAGCTTACCTACGTAGAGCAGCTGAACCTTAAGTACGACCCCCCATTCAAATACGCAATGCTGGGAGGAGGTTAGCGTTGCCAACTCAGGTCAAGTACGAATATCTACTCCGTAGACTAACAAGGACGGCTTTTGTGGCTAAACCTTGACAATCCCCTAGGCCTATCAAGTAAAGGCCTGCTGAAAGGGGGTCTGTGCCACGACTCAGACGTACTACGTAGTGACTTCAGGGCCTCTGTCCACCAGGCTACTCAACGCCTGACTCATGTACCTACGCTAAGTATTGGGGGAGTTTTCGGATAGCTCGCCTTCGTCCCTTGACCACAGGTGTGAAGATCCTGTTGTGGCTTGCATGAACAGAAGCGCTAGATGTTGGCGAATGTCACCGAAGCCTTTATAATAATTGCGGTATTCCCCTTCGCGGCATCAACCGAACTGTGGCATTCCCTAGACTGCCAAGTTGCCCCGGGGAAATAATATCCCAAGGCTCTGGGCCGCTGAAGACGACATGCAGATCTCCCGTCATCCTCTTCTTTCTTGTTCCACTCTTTCGCTTTCGCACTGGACCTGGTCGTGTTGGGCCTGAGCAGCGTGTCTGCCCCCATAGAATATCACAACCCACCAAGCATACCCTCCCTTGGAGGATTATCCTGGCAATGAGTCCTCTTCGTCACAGCGTTATTGTTCGAGCGGCCGAGACAACTGCAGAGTCCTCGACCGCACCGCTAATAACGGGGCCGTATCCCCCTCTCACTCAACCAGGAAAATCGCTTATTGCCGTTTCCGTCATCATGGTGTTTTTCACCACGGCTTGGACGGTGATGCGCATCATCTCCCGCAACATCAGGAAATCCCAGTATTACATCGAGGATTACTTTTACTTTGTCGGTCAGGTGAGTGACGAATGGCCCGCAACACACCATTATTCTAATAAACATTTCAGATCCTGTACTATGTATTAGCCGCCCTATTCATCCTCGGTACATCTTGCTTTTATTGCGCTTGAATTTTGCTACAGAATGCTAACGAATAGCAGTCGTCGTCGACGGCGGTGCTGGACATGACTTGGTCCGACTTGCCCCAGACGTTTCAAGCAAATTCTCGCGCTTCACACTCGCAATCCAAGTGGCCTATAGCATCTGCCTGTGCTTCATCAAGGTGGCCGTTATCTGCATGATCCGGCGAATCTTCCGCACGGCTGGTCGATTCTTCGTCATGGCGACTTGGGCAGCGACGGTCCTGTCTGTTATCTGGGCCTTGTATGGAATCATCCTCCCGTTTGTCCTCTGCAAGCCCGTGGAAAGCGCTTGGGGGGCTGCCAGGCCGGAAAAGTGCGGTGACATCGTCATGGCACATGTAGCCGTTGCTGTCTTGGATATCGTTTCTGAGGTGGCCATCGTGGCACTGCCGATGAAGATGGTATATAACTTGCATATGAATCGGGCACACAAGTTGGCAATGGTTGCTGTTTTTGGGGCTGGTTTTGTGTAAGTTTTCCCCATATCGCCGTGTTTTCTTGTCGTCTTGTCGTCTTGTCATCTTGTCATCTTACATGAGAGAAGCCTGCATCCTCATCTCCAGTCTCTGCTAACACCCCTGTGCAGCACCATCATCTTCTCATGTGTGCGGCTCTACTACATCTACATTGGCATTCAAAACATATCCAAAATCTCCACCGGAGGATCCATCAGCACCGCACTCCAAGCTGGAATCGCCATCATGGTGGCATCGAGCCCCATGCTCCGCCCCATATTCGACCGCACTGCTCTCAAATGGCTTGGAATCAGTCTCCGCAGTACCCGGGAGGAGAGCACTGGCGGAGCCGTCAGATCACGAGCTACAGGCGGTGGTGGAACAAGGAGAACGAGCCAGGGACCGTCACATACCCGGCCCGGTGGCTTCCAGCAAATGCATGAGAGCGAGGAACATCTGGCGTGGGAGATGGCCACAATGAATGGGAAGTTTAATGGGTAAAAAGTAATAAAATAACTTATAAAAAAAGGGAATTGATATACGGGCATGACATTTTTGATACACGGGCATGACTCTTACACGGGCATGACTTTTATGACATCTGATTCGCTAGATTTCCGTCGACCCATAAATACATCATCGCAAAGGCGGTAAAGCTAGCTCTCTTAATAGGCTCTTATTTCCAGCACCCAACTAACCAGGTCAATCCAGCCCTCTACAATAGGTCTGTGCAGGACGTCAAAACAAGATCTAGTCTTGAATATAGCAGAAGGTCAGTTCCATTGTGCCCTAGAGGGCAGCTATCTACATGTCTATTCTCTAACTACTATAGAAGGAAGAACCTCTTCGTTGCGTCTTTCGGCTGCTGGCACGTACTCCTGCAGTTCTTCCAGTTCCTAGAACAGATAGCTGGCTGCGTGTCTGGCTCGCTTTTAGTGCAAGCCTGGCAAGCGTCGACTTATTCTGATATCTTGGTGGTCGACCTCGCTTACGCCCTATCACCTGACTGGTTGGCTTACTGGTTAGCTGGGTATTGGGCTGGGTATTAGGCTGGAAGTTCGATCGCTTGAGCTAGGAGGAGACTCGGATTGGGACATAATAAAGGTCTTTATGGTCAGGGGCTGGGCGACTGGCAATATATAGCTATCTGATGGAGAGCTAGATCACGTGGCGTCAGTTACTAAGGGATGATTATGGACAGTGTTAGATTGAGACCTCATGTGGTGGCATAATATGCATCTCCATGCCATGTGGAATCAACTAGAAGCTTCTTGCTAAGCCGGTGGCAATAGGGGGCAACTTTCATCTTTGGTGGCGATATTCCTATCCCTTTGAGTATAA